ATCATAATAAAATAAAATTAATATTATGTAACTACCAAAAATGAATTACATTCATTCTCCCTGCAAATAAAATCAACCTGATCCTCATAAACAAGCATGTCGTGGTTCACCAAGCATGACAGATGTGTTTTAGCTTTAGCAATGATTGAGAGGTGAAGGCTAATAACCGAGCTGGTATAGCTAATTATCCAAACAAGTTTGATATTAATCAATCAAATACGAAACCATTAAAGTCTTCTTAATTGAATTAGTGTTCCAAGTTATGTAGTGAAGTGCCATGTAGTGCTCTATTTGCTGTGCTTTACTGATTATATGCCTCCTTACTATATAATTATGGCGAATAGAGCGAAATTCATTACATAGACCATCCATTGATTAAAGTAAATATTGGCATAAACTAGTAAGATGAACTCACAAGGATGTGGGCGTACGGCAAATGAACGACAATCTTTGAAACTCCAACACCCTTTAACGAATGGTTCATTTCGCGTTGCCATGCACACTGTCTAAAATATTCACGCCGGTCTTTGCTGTTTTGCTGTGAGTTTCTGACCCCAGTTTCTCGAATTCAAAAGAAATTTTAGGAAATAACTGGTATGTGCTGATAATAGCTAAACCTTTCACGATACAGTACGCATTGATTTCCTCTGAAGAAATTAGAAGTCCCAAGAGAAATTCAATGAGTTCGTGAACAATATGTTGGTGTGGATTGCGTGCTAATCGACAGATTAAGAAAAGTCAAAGAACGAAGTTGGCCGGGACGGGGCGTAAGCTCATATTCAGTAAGACTTCAATGCTACCACCATTCTGACCATCTGAAACTACCTTCTAGAGGTATAACTTTGAAATACTGATTATTTCTTGGATTATTTACTGATAAATAAGACAACTTATGACATTAACGAAGTACTCAGAGAACTCGCACATCTATCGACTCGTCCCGTCCCCTTCTAAGGGATGCTCCCACGCATTCGACTTCCATTCAAATTCGTAGTGGCGTACTGAATACGTATGTGGCTTATACAATGACTTGCGGTGGCCAGCGAATGTTCAAGTCGGCGCTTTTATTTCCCCAGATGAGTCTGGTACCATTTAACCAACACCTGAATGAACTGGTTGGTGAAAGACTTGCCGGCCTAGGCGAATATCATCAATATCCGGGACTAGAACTCATGACCATGCGTGAATGATAATGCGCCACTTGTCACTACACCATCTTCCCTCCTTGATTCGTATTACGCACTTGCACTGCATATAGGAAGCTCGCTTAAATACCTATTGTAGGGCAACTCTAGGAATGACAATGTTTAATGTGAGGGAATGCGAAGTGGATTAATTCACTTGAATTCACCCGTAAGGCCAATGTTTTTGTCGATGAAGTAGTCACACCTACGCTGACTATAAATGGAGCTGCAGAATTTCGGTTCGCCCATGCCCACCTCTAGGCCCCTCGATCATACGTATATTTCTCTTCCGTGGGCTCCGACATCTCATTTCTCTCTTTAAGAGTTGCCAGACGTTCTCCGCGTATACCTCGTTACGATCGTCTTTTTTCAATCTTGGCAGATTTCAGAATGCTCTGCTTGGTGGTTGTCTTACTACTGCTCGTTCCGTTCTCATCTCAAGCCGATATATTCTCTCTAATGAAAGCACAACCGCTACATAATTATTTCAAGGTAAATTTAATCATTTCTCTGGCAACTATCGGTTTACCGTAGGAAGCATGAAGAAAATAAGTAGATTTGAAATAGAATTACTGCATAACTACTAAAAAGGGATTGTACAAAAAAGGAAGGTTCGATGATCGGCACAGGAAATAACAGTGGGTGAGTGGTAATGTAGAGGGTTGGGTAACTGGATTAATTGCCACCATGAAGAAAGGGGCAACGTAAGAAATAGCATTTAGGGGCGGTAAGGGGGATCCAGGCAATTCATCAGGGTGCGATCTTCGAACTTATAGGCGCTAGTTGGAGTATAAAAACATATTTCCTTGTCTTGGTATTCAAATGCATAGTTCACGATAGAAGTGCTTCCCGAAATTTCTCCATAAGATGAACCTGTGATCCTCGAGGACAGCGCAAGGAGTGCTGTTAGATCAGAAAAACGGCTTAGATAGGGGGGTCCGGGAACTTCTCCCCTAACACGGTGTCGCACACACCGCACCCGCCGCCTATTGCAGGATTGCGGTGGAAGATTGGAGCACGCGATTTGTGAGGTAGAGAGTCCTTTAATTATTTGAATTGGCTGGCCGCTCTTTTCAATTCCAATGCGGTCTTGATTGTCGTTTATATAGGAGGAGTCATTTTAATTAATCAAGTCTAATAAACATGAAAACTAAAAAGAAACAGAAGAANAAACGATAAAATCCAATAAAAAAGCAAGCCAGTCAAGGAAAAATATCGCGTCCTATCGATTGACGGGAGGCGGGGTGAGTACGGTAATTGCAGTGACACTTGCCGCATGCCGCAAAGGACAATGCCGCAATCGGGGAAAAGTTCCGTTACCCTAGATAGGGCGTAATAAGTGCCTTGAAATCGGCTTATACAATGCACATGTCCGAAGGCGGATGAGTTCTCACGGTGTCATGGAGGCTGTAGAGGTTGCATCATTCACCTGGTTTATGTAGCCAGCTAAACGCAATGGACCACACATCTGGAGAACTCGTCCAAATACCACAGTCGTGCAACTCTTGTATCCACGTATCGTAAACCCCTAATTTTATTACTTTTTCGAATCCTTATATTTCGTCTTCGCCACTTCTGCACTATTCAGAACGATCATTCCATTTTTCATCTAGAGCTAGATACCCCACAATTATCGTAAACTGTACCTTTAAATAATTGTACAGAAGTGCTCGGAATGCTCTGGTTCTATCCCATCAGCCCTTTCTTTCTTGAAATCCTGATAGAAGGAAATTTATAACTGAAATTTGGAAACACAGTGAATAAGAATGTGAAAGCACGACAGAAGAAGAATGTTTTGACCATTGAACAATCTCATCAAGGGTTGTGCCCATCCATTAGATCCCGTTCAGGATTGAAGCTTCGTTTGAATGGGTACTTACTCTATGCATCACTTTAGTGGGCTGAATGATGTACATGGATGGTACTGCTTTCATCCTCCAATCTGTCCAGTTCTAGAGGGTTGGATAATTTAGAGACGAGGGTATTGGCCCAAAACTTCAGCAAAGAACCATTGCTGCGATTCGGTTATTCTTGGCCCTTACCCATAATGACCATCCCCGAGAAATGAGAGCTGTCAGATAACATCCAGTTACTACAGTATTAATTTCAAATGTTCTGACGTTTTACGCTTTCAGACGCTGAAGACGTTTTCACAACGATCACGGGATCCATACGGATATGGAGCGTACCGTTTTGAAGACAACGCAAATCGTGACATGCTACTACGATAACATTCCTCATGTATCACAAATATTCTGTTGTTAAAAAGATCCCATGCGTCTCATGCCATCCTCCAAATAAATTGAATACTTAGTTTTCAGTGGGTAATTAACAACATCAAAATTATGACAAAACTGATCCGATCATTTATACTTAGCGATGAAGCGGAGCTGAAAGCGTGCAGGTTGGAAGTTAATGCTTCAGTTAATGGTAAACAGAAGACGAGAAAAACACAGGTCCTCATGAAAAACGCTTTGAGGAGGGAGTTCAACAGCAATTATAATAACATCCTCAAAACAATTTGAATAAAAAATACTATAAGATTGCAAAAAAAAAACGTTAAAAAACCCTCCTGATATTTTTCCTTTGCATCATATTTTCAGAGGGAAGAGTTGATAGCCTATGAATTTCAAGGAGAACTCACGTCATTGAACTATAGTTCTGGAGACGAAACACTTGAAACAGATAAGAATGTGTTCGGCAAGATAGCAGCTGCCGTCAGTAGCACTGACCAGTCCATATGGCTAGCTGCCTAAACATTAACCGTTTTCACGTGATTTGCTTTCTTCTATGGCAGTGTGCACTATTTTATTGCTGTCAACAAATATTTCCAGTGAGTAATCGTTTTTTTGAAGGTATAAGTAATGAGTAAATTTTCACTACGGTACATCAGATAGTACGTAAAAGTTCCAGAAAAAAACCACCGTTCTCAATCAGTCTCTATGTACCACAACAAGCGTACGGCTCAACTTCAGAAACGTAGCAAAAAAAGCAAAAATGTAGATCTGCAGATCCTGGTAATATCACCTGTACCACCTGTCATCCCGTTGATCATTGACTTTCTTGAGCGGGCGCCAGTAATGTCTCCGTTCGTCCCTACTACGAGCCAGAGTGGTCCAGTGAATGGTCCTCGCTTCGAGGGCACGAAACTCAGTATTCCTTTCGTTCAGAGCTTTCGTGAAGAAGTCTGACCATCGAGTTTGCGGTCCATCCTGATAACATAATGGCTCAGAATAGCGTCTGAAAAGATACTATGGATTCGATTCTGACTGGATCATTCTTTGCCCATTCCCCGTATCCTTGGAATTGTTACTACCATGGACTTCAGTCTCAAATAGCAGATTTCAAAAAATAACCAGACATTCTGTGCTCTTATTAATTAACACAGGTAGATTCAATAAGCAGTTTCACGCTACTTAATTTGGATATTTCAATTGATACCAAGTATATAAAGAGGTTCATAGATCGCATTATTTTGTCTGAATTAATTAATCTACTTATAATTGCCATACTATTCGTCAAAATAGAATTAGCATAATGGATAGAAGCGCTAATGTATACCCAAAGGGTTCATCACCTAATTAAATAAACTAAAACTCGGAAAACTGGTTAGCTGACGTTGAAGTTAATGGGGATTAGAAATAAGTGGAGAGCAGGAAAATGAGCGTAAGACAGAGACCGGAAGAAATCAACTGATCTCCTTGATATCGATTGTTTTAGGTTTCTAAGAGCATTTATGAGATGTTACAGATATTCTTCAATTTCATGCCTCAAAGGGTATGCGAAGACGCTGAGTTCCGATTTACGAAAGACAGATGCCAACTGACACCAGTGGAGCAGTGCGAGGAACTGAGGAAGTGCAGTCATGTCGGGATCGTCAAGCCGCCGTTTCATTCAATGGTGGAAGAGTTCGAGCTCTACTGCGACAAAGCCTACGATGCTACATTGGTGCGTACATCTCGTAAAGATTATCAGAAACTTACAAATTGATCCTTCGCATCATACTACGTCGACAGCACATCGTTTAGTTGAAAGTAAGATAACAACCTCTTCCCAGTCTGATGTGGGTGAACTCCTGGAACATTGCCTTTCTTGCAGTGATCTTCATGCCTGAATCCAAGTCTTTCCCAAACTTGTTATTGACTTTACAGGTAGCAACAATTCAATTTCTGGGAGTGCTTGCGGGCACAATGATTTATGGTCATCTTGGCGATCGCTTCGGTAGACGACCTGTATCGTTTTGTGGGATTCTTATCGGTATCACGTTTGGGGTTGCCAGTGGTACGTTGAATCTCACCTTTCTTCCGTCATCAACTTACAACTTAGAAATGTGAAAGTCTTGCGTCAAAAAGCACCCTACCTAAGCATAGTAGTGACAGGAATGAAGGATGAAGCCCAGACTTTGATAAGCTGCTTCCGGACACGCCAACGCAATGGGCTTCTATCCAGATTGATAAGAGTTATAATATGTACTTCACCTATACACTAATTTGTGGAGACAAGCAAACGTCCGAGTTATTCCTTTTATCCTCCCATACGAAACCTTTGCCAAATAGCCTGCTCCATAGAGCAAATGCCTACCCAGCGTAGAAGAGTTTCAACCCGGGACTGGATCTCCGACGTAAAGGCACCCTATCTCTTCCCTCCATAGTGAGAGTGTTGTGGTAGTCAAAGAAAGAAAGAAGTTGGCTAAGTGAACGATATTTAGGTTTTGCGCCATCATGGCAGATATTCGCTATGTTACGATTTGTATGTGGAACCAGTGTGGCATGTATACTGGTGGTCTTCTATACCTACATCGTTGAGCTGATCCGACCTGAACAACGAGTTTTCATGCGCTCGTTCTTCAACTGGGTAAACATATTTGCTCGTGTATGTCAGCGGCGAATGATGCCCGTACTACGAGGTTATGTTGAAACCCGACTTTACTCCTTTGTTCGAACATCGCCGGTGACATACGCAAGCAAATGCGCCTGAAGATTTGTTTTTGAGCATATTATAGAACTTGTATTAACCGACGCATAACAAAAAAAGCATAGCCTTTACGACCTAGGGCTACGCTCGCATCGTGTTCACTCTTACTTGTATGATGTGCGACCACTGGCGATCAGCAGCGATAGCAACGGCAATGCTGGCAAGTCCTACCCTCCTCGCAATTGCATTTTATCTACCGGAAACTCCGAAATGGTTCGGTCTCCTTCTGAATTAATAGCGCCAACCAGAAAAGAAATGGGAGGCTTTCTTTAGGTATGCAAGCAAAGGACGAATGAAGGAGGCAAGAGAAGCAGAGAAAAGAATTCACAATTTAAGTGGAAAGGAATGCATACGTGCAACTGAACTTTCTCAAGAAAACTCCGACAGCAAAAAATACACCGCCAAGCACCTTCTGCAAGATCGGCATCTCGCAACGAGAACGGCTATTCTCTGCTCGCTATGGTTTGCTACCAGGTGAAATATTGAAAACTAGCACTAAACGGTTCCGGCGATTTATGTTATGCCAAGCGCGGGAATAATAAATAATGGCTCTATAGACTAGATTATCTGGCTTTGAACCATCCTTTACGTGTTGATGATAAAACCCCCAACAACCCAAGCGTGAATGCTCTCTTGTGACAGCTTCCTTGACTTTTCTACCCCTAGTTTGGCATTTCGAAATCAGCATCCAACAAATGGATAGTTTTGGTTGAGTGAGGTCATTCCAGAACCAAGGAAAGGCGCTAGCTATAAACTAACTTACATGAATCCAAATTGGACAATTCGTTCAGCCTATCAGCCTTCGGAAGTGACCTCAACTCAGGAAACCTCCTCGGTAACTTCTATGTGAATCAGATCGCTTCGGCAATGATGATTGCTTTCACTAAAATAGTAAGTCATCATAATAATTCCAAGTTAGATTATAGCAAAATCCACTTTCAAGAACTACTTTCTACATCCTCCAAATCTTTCAGGTCGTATTTCTACTCGACACCTATTGGAGTTCCTTCGATAGACGGAAACTTCATCAAATACCGCAGGTAAGTTGCTGAGTGTTGTAGAAAGCTAAGCATTGGCTATGATATGTTCAATACACTGATGAAATCTAGCTAACGGCACCAGTGAATTTAATTTGTAGGTGCTCGTGATTGTGTGCTATTCGATCATTATGTGCTTGCAAATGTTTGTGCCGGAAAAAAACTGTGACGGTAACAGCTGGAAAGATTGGATGAGTGAGTGACGAATAATTATCGTTTTTTCAAACTATTCTACGTAATATAGCAAATTCATACCTTGAAAAAGCATCGTTGTAATACCTCAGACTGTTTCTCAATTTCCTCATCTTTTCTCTGGCATTAATCCTGCTCAGTCGGAGAGTCCACTGTTTTTGCCAACTGCTTCCGCTTCCTTCAATCTGTGGCATCTTGCCACTTCGGCCTCGGCGATGTCCTTCTTGATCACATCGCGCCACCTTTTCTTTGGAGTTCCACGTGATCGCTTTCCTTCCGCTTCAAACTCCAACTATTGTCTTTGTTATCGGGTGGTCCTTCTGTCATCGCGGCACGTGCCCATACCATCGCAGACGCTGCTCTTCCATCATCAGCTGGGCAGGGTTGCTTGCATGACCGCAGTTGTGGTCTCGTTCCTGACCCAGTCCAATCAATAGGAAGAAGAATTATCAATTATTTATTTAAAAATTATTAATTTATTAGAAAAATAGAAAATTAAAATTGTTAAAATTGAGAAATTAGAAAAAAATTAAAATTAAATTATTAAGAAAATTATTAGAAAAAATTCTAATAGAAAGCATCTTCATTTCAATGGAGTGAATTTACCTTTCATGAACTTTATCCACAGATCAGCACTCGATGCCGTAGAGCATTACATGTCTCACTATGTTCAGTGAGATTTCCTTTGAGCGCCCCTACTTAAACGTTAATGGTGATCCAAAACGCAACTGTTTTTCGTTCCGGCAGAGGCAGCCACTTCCGCGTCAGCACACCCGTTTGTCACCTAGTACAGTAAATTCATGGAAATAGGCGCAACTACTCTCTATCGCTTCGTTACTTGTATTTATTTATTTACTAAATGGGCTGCGCACGGAAACGCCTGCAACACATACCAAGTAATCCGTAGGTGAGATAGTGAGATCACTTCAGTATCAATAAACTTCCTATTTCGTAACTGTACCTCACCCATTTCTATACGCTCCCTCCTGACATTCATCCTCAGCGTGCTTACGTGACTTTCGGACGGACGCACAAACCGACATACAAACAGACACACAAAGTTACCGCTTTATATATAGAGAGATACACTCCACAGAGTGCCCCTCTGGTATCATGCGAAGGTGAAAACCTGAAAGTACTTGTGCTTTGAAAATAAATATGATGTATGAGATACACAATCGCTTCCAAAATGCTCTCTTAAATACGGAATCAATGATCAGTTATTATTACCAAGTTATTTTCAGTCATTATTACCAACATAATTGGAGTATCATTCATTGAAATTACGTGGGATTCGTGCTACTTAGTGGCAGCAGAGTGCTTTCCTACGCACATACGAACAATTGGAATGGGGACTTGTTCGTTGTCAGCAAGAATAGGAGCTCTTATAGCTCCTCAGGTAGGCTCAGAAACCATAGCAATACAGTGATAAACGATGATACTGTTAATGAGGGGAGAGGAACCCTATTGAAGCGCGCGGGACCCAGCGGCAGCCTCTGTGTATCATGAATAATGACAGTTTCGAGCAACAGAGAACGACTATTCGAAATTATACTCTCGCTTGAACTCCCATGTTCACCAGAAATCAAAGAAAAATGTCGAATTCTAGGCAGCCTGCTGACCGCTCCATGATCGCGTACGCAACATTAAAAAGCTACAGGCATATGTTAGCATCTAATTGCTATTTCACTTATATATTTCGGTTAAATCACTCCTATGTGGACTCTAATGATAGTAGAGCTTTTTCAGATGGCGTACCTGTCTATCATCTACCAACCAGCACCTTACATAGTCGTCGTTTGCGTTGGTCTTATAGCTCTTGGCATATCGATAGCATTTTTGCCGAATACGAAAGGAGTGGATCTTGCACATATAGGAAAGGATACGAAGAGCGAACTAGTACAAAAAGCGCAAGCGCTCCAAAATGGGCATAATATCGTTGATAGATTTTAATAAACGACAAGTTATGGTGCTAATTTTGAGACCGTCAGAAACACTCGACCTAAAACCACCGCTCTTCTGATAGTCATTGCTACAAGCAACACCCTCATGAAGAGTTGCAAACTTTTGAGTTATTCCTGAGCATAAAGCAAAGAAAGCTTAACAAAGTGACAGGATAGAGAAAAACTCAGGCTGGCCTGACTCTTGCAGGTATCGATGTAAAAAGGTGCCAGCTCCCAGCTACTTTCCTCATGACAGCTAGGGTTCATATCAAAAATGACGCTCAATTAGATTCCAGTCCAGTGGAATAAAATAAGCAAAGCATAACAAAAAAAACAGAATTGGATCGGATCGGACCTGGCAGGAGCGACGACAGTCCGAAAATCGTGTGTTAGTTATTCCTCACAAAACCATACTACTGAACATCTTCGTTTTCCACTGAAATCCGAGACTCCCCCTGAACAATTTGAAAACATATTTACACCAACATTGACAACATAACATTGATTACTCCTCCTTTAACCGGAAACTTTCAGGTAAAACTAGAAACAACTCTTTATAAAGCCACTAGAGAGGTTCAATAAAATACTTAAAATTTATTAGTGATCCATATTACATACAAAAAAAAGATTAATACTAAAAGCTGTAAACATTCAGCTTTTCTAGCCGATAAGGACACAAAAAGTAAGTCAAAGCAAAAAACTGAAAGCAGTAAAACAGATTATCAAAAAATCATGCAAAAACTCGGCCATTTGTCTAATATACATAAAAGAGCAAACATAAAATCGTTTAGTGACTAAAGTCTGAATGTAAGTTGTAAAAAAACATACCTAAAAGGGATGTTTACGGTTGAAAGGCAAAAAGTGAGAAGTCTAAAGAAAAATAGAATAGAAAAAATCGAAAAAAGTTAGTAAAGTTGGTTAATGGCGGTGCTCCGTGTCGATGTTCAACATCTGAACTACTTCATCTAAATCAGAATAGATGTCGTTCGAAAGCATTTCATTCAATTGTTCATAGCGCAACACCATCTTTCTGTTCTCCTCCATTTCTTCAGTGAGCTGTAAAAAAAAGATTTGTGGATGAAATGAAATCCAGTATGATTTGTACCACAGAACAATTTTGAGCTGGTAGCTGAAATGGGTTTTTTGAGCTAGTAGCGGTCAAGGCAGGTAATTGAGAAAAAGCCTAAAGGGACATGGAGCTAACGTGCCGGAGCTGACAAGGAATTTTTGAAAAACAGCCAAAGAACTCGAAAAGAACTAACCTGCTCTCTAGCCCTGCGTACAATCGTCATCAACATTTCATTGTTCGTTTGAGTTTGAGGAATTTTTAACATCTGAAATTAATCATATGCATAAAGTGAGACCTACTCGATTGGTCTGATTGAGATTGAAAAGATGGAAAGATTGAGTAAGTGAAACAAACGTCGTTCAAGCACATATCAGGACGTTCTGGATGTGTTGGAAGTGACAAAAGAAGCCTTAGTAAATCAGCTAGTGTCTTAGAAAAACCGTCTTCGGCTAGCCATTCATAGAGCTTCTGAAACTTCCTCTTTCAACGTTAAAAAAAAGATAAAGCAGATCAGACAGTATACCTCATTGTTACTGTCAGCTCGGGTGCGATCTTCAAATGGACCGGAGCTCATAGTTTCGGTTCTAAGACCTCACAAAAGACCAACTCTAAAAATACTGAAATAATTATGTAATACAATGGCAAAAAAACATGGTTCGAAGCTAATAGCTGAAAAATTTCTTACTATTCTGGAAAAGTTCGCGGAGCCGCGGAGTTTCGTGGTGGGACCACACATCGTTTCCCTGCTGCGCGGTGCACACTGTTGAAAATGCAAATGAGAAAAAACGTAAATTTGTGACGAAACAACAGGGTGAGTGGTTCTTTGAAGGTTTGAAGTTCCAGATTGTTGAGGATCTTTATTTGTTGTATGATTTAGAATTTTATAGTTGAAAATGATAAGTGTACTTTTCGTAAAGCTACTTAAAATACGCCACACACTCGGCACAATCACTTATTGGCGAATGGTGAATCTCTGGATGTTAAGTGCCTTGGAGCCAGATCACCGATATCAAATCTTTCGCAGTCGTCTGTAGACAGCTCTTATGGTTGGATCGCAGTTCCGACGACAAACTGATTTCCAGAATGTCGCTTATATATGAAAGCGGTTAGTTCGTCAGAAATGAAGAAAACTCAGGAAGCACGAATGCTCTTTCTAAACGCTCGCATTCGGATGTGGACGAGTTGCATCCAGTGCATTGTGGAGTTTGGACGAGTTTGCACGCCCAATCAGTAGCGCCAACTTCATCTGTAAGTGAAATGTTTGAAGTTTACTTTATTAGCATTCGTTTTCTAGTTTGACGAAAACCTAGGTTTTATGATTTTCCATCCGGGTGCGTTTATTCAAGTCACACAAACTCAATGATTACTCAAAGGCCGTATGGAACTTGACTAAACGCCGCGCTCGTTTTTTGTCCAAATGTTGTACCGTACGTTATAGATCTGCTGCTAATTTGATAAATGAACAATTGCTCTAATCTGGAGGTTTTCTCGAAGTAACCCTGGCTGGCGGGATCCATGTCGATGCGAGTCATGGTCGACAAAGAAAACGTTGGACCATTATCGCGGTTATCCGTGATCGCATCAACTGATAATCCTGGACACACAGTCGTAATCAGAAGGGAAAAGTGATCGCATGCGCCAGTTGCGGTGGGTGTTCTCTGATCAGCCCCAATATATCTGATCATAATAGTTTTTCCTATATAGTCCTTAAACTGACTGATGATGTAGTGTTCGACATCGATCAAAACCGCTAGGATTGCGCCATGCTTTTCTACCTGGTTCGATGGCTGATTTTTTCTGCCTGATAGAATTTTAGGATATCCTGGCAGGATTGGTTATGGTGAAATATAAGAAATATGTTCCATGATCAATTGGCGATATATTGTCGCTTTTCAAAGAGCCTCTACTTCCAAGCCGCTTCGTATACATGGCGTATCCAGGAAGATTAGTTAACTCCATATATTAATCGCAGTTTCTCCCCTTACTTCCTGTACCATCGCCCGTTACCCTTCGCTGACTCAACAGCTACAGTAAGACCAATTAGAAGGTTATTCTAGACATCCATTGAGCCTGATTATGTGATGACATCGTTGGCTGTTCGTCGAACATGCGTGATAGTGATGAATCATATTGATAGCTTGGCAATACGGAACCTCCGTTATCGCCATCTTCTATCATCCTTTTCGTATCACACCGATCAGATAACCAGCTTTTGTGTAAGACATACAGTCAGACGACCAGATTGACTTGATGTGATGCTGTATGTCACTGGAGAAGAAAGGTTGGTAAAGAAGGTTGTCGAAAAGGACTACGAAGACTGTTTTACCCTCCGAATTCCTAGTTTTCCGAAGGAGTGGTGTAGTTGGACCCACAGAAAGTTCCCCCCAGCAGACCTAACTTCTAGGAACCCTTGAAAGAGATCAAATCCTTTTCAATACCTTGTCAAAACCTCAGTCACCGGATCAGTAAAGCTCAACAACATTATGACTTTCGTAGATAAAGCGAGGCAGTGGGAAAGGCTACAATCCTTCTATATTGTGATCAGATACCTCCAGATACAGCGAGCTTCCTCTCTCCACCAAGTTTTTCAGCTGTTAAAGGCACGGTTCACGATAAAAAGGTTACTGAGTTCTTCCTTCAGGAATACTCAGCGACACCCATGGTTGGTAGGAGGGACCCTCTCACTCCCCACTCTCGACGTCCAGGGTATAGTGCAAGCCCTGTTGTTGCCGTGATTGTCTTTCCCGCCCCTCGATCGATGTCACGTCATACGAGATGTAGACAGGTACAGAGTCATGTATTCGCGTCAGGATCCACCCTTCAGCAGGAAATCAGCTGTTTGCCCAGTGTTTACCAAACAGTGAAGGCACAATCTGCGCTT